ATTTTAATTTGATAAGGTTGTGTTAAGATAATCTAACAGTTTATAACTGTGTCTTAACAATATTTTTTTTTTTTTTTTCCAAAAAAACACAAAATTCAATTCTTTCGTTGTTTCTTCATGAATAAGCTATTGCAGGGAAAAGAAAAAAGAAAAAAGAAAAGAAAAGGATAGAAAGAAAAACCAATTGTTATAATGGATGTTTCATGAGAGATAAAGACGCATCAACCATTATGCACGTTATATAATATAAAAGGAGAGGTGAAATTTTGGAAGAAAAGAAGGTGGACCTCTATTTTTCTCTTGGGTGGAAACTTTCTTAGATTGAACAAAGTGGGAGTGATTCTATTGCCCAACAATCATGTTATATGATTGCGTTGATTTTTATTATAAGGTACAAGAAATAAATCATTTTCTTCTTGAAAGGTTCAATTAGGAGCCCTTATCAACCTCAATTACTTAGCTCCTACGCTGTTGGAAACTTTTTAACGGTCAAATTAAGTTCATTGTCGTTTTGCCAGCTTTTCACGACACAGATTATTAGCATGAATAAAATAAGACGTTGAGTTTAGAAACAAGTTCAAGCGATGAAGGAAAATATATGCATCGTTTAGTAGCTAGTAGAGTTTTGAGAAAGGTACCATCGCTAATGATCCTTGAATAAAAAATAAAAATAAAAAAATAAAAAAAACTTTTTTTTATCACTAAATTACTAGTGAATTATTCTTGAGTAGTTTTTACTCAACCATTATTTGATTATTATGAATTACATCAGTGAAGAATTATGTATGAACATCAAATTCAAACTCATTCTCAACTCTCTATTGAACTAATTAAAGTTGCATGGGATCAACTGCTCAAAGTTAATAAATAATAAATCATTTAGTTTTTTTATTCTCGTTTTCGTGACAAACATACCACTAATTTGCAAAAGGAAAATGTTGTTTCATAATCAGAGATGGCAAGACGAAACTAGAAAATAAGTCAGGTGGATGGGGGAGTATACTAAAAATCTCATTAGATTTCATTTCACATATAAAATGAGTGAAAACTTGACATATTATTAAGTACGATAAACATAGAATTAAATTTTCAAAAGAGAATGAACTGCAAATTTTATTACATTTCACACGAAATTAAAAGAAAAATATAATTTAAATGGTATGGTCGTCTACTTAAAATGTGGCTCCGAGAGATGTCCGTGGGGCCGATGTGGTTAGGCACCACAACTGCACTTTCTAAAACTCCTTAATAGCGGTTGTTGACAAGTGCAGTGAGCACTAATCTAATAAATCCCACAAACATATATATAAATATATATATATATTCCACAAAACAAAAGCGAAAATTCTCCATTAAGCACAAAAGGCACTTTCTTAGGCGAAAAGTGGGAATTGAATTGAGTGCTATTGATTCCAGGATAACATCAGAAAGCAATAAGTTTCCAATTCCCAACCATGTGCTGTGACTCATTTTCCTTTGTTCTTTTTCAATCAACATGTCCTATTAATCCTTCACTTATCACCTATCCGAAACTTTTCTCTTCTCTCAAAAACAAAACCCTCTTTAAGCAAAAGTCCTTTTCATTTGTTTTTTTCTTTTAGCTGTCTTCGGTGAAAAAAACGTGGAAGGTCCACTAACGCCTTTTTTTTTTCCCCCTTCCATCGGTGTTGCATGTCCTATTTGTTGTCTTTAAATAATTCTATATCTAGACTTTACCATATATATATATATATGGTTCTAATTTGTATAGTTTTCACAAATTGATTTAGTCTTAAAAACTGGAATTAGTTTACCAACGGTACTACAAACTACAATTGTCTTTGGAAACTTTACTTAAAACTTAATAATACATCAAATATTAGAACACATTTTGAATACTAGCCATGTATTGAAATGATAAAAAGACAAATATTACAATTTTTGCTTTTTAGTTGATAAATGAAAGAAAACGTCCAAGAACACACATATAGTTTTGTACTATAGCATCATTCTTTCACCGTTCAGCAGAGAGGATAAGATTCCACCCCCTCATCATCTCCATGCTATGGTCCAAAAAAGATTTAGAAGTGTTTTAATTTTGTTGGTTATATTCATATTTTGTACTGCGTAAGAATACAAAAGGCTATGTTGACTTGAGTTTGATGAGTAGGTCATTTGCACATGATGACATGGTACAAAAGACATATTGAAGTGCCAATTCAAACGGTGCAATCTAAAATCATTTATTAGAGTTCTTTTTTTTTTTCTTTTTTTTTAGCAATTACCGGTGAAGTTCACAATTTCTTCAAAAATAGTGTCAAAGCCATAAAAGAAATGCTATGATATACAATGATCGATTTAAAACTTTCACCTAATTTAGCAGACTGACTAGTGCAGCAAAGACGCAACATTATTGCTTAGAGTAACTCCAAATAGTGATTAAAAAGTGAGGGAATTTTTTAATATGACTAAAAAAATGAATTATCGTTAGTTTTATATTTTTCAGTTGTTAGACCTGTATCAAAAACTGTATGTTATATATATTTTTTAAATTTAATATAATGTTAATTAAATATAACAATCAGAAACTAGTCCTATCAGTAGAGAGACCTACCAGAGAAAGTCTTAAAAATTATTGTCTTAAAAAAAAAACAGTAAATGTTAAGGAAAAACTTAAATATCCCAACTTTTAAACTTGATAAATGAATTAAATAAGAGAAAAAATCGTGTAAAAATGTTTGAAGTATGGTTCAAACAGACAAACTGATACTTATGAGACTTGTGCTTGTTTTTGGCACACAAATCATCGCAAAGAAAAGAAAGTGATAAATTATTTACAAGTAATAATTGGTCAAATATAGTGGCAAGGAAATAATATAGAATCTATTGTAAACCATAAATATTAAATGGCCAACAAATTAAAATATACAACCAATAAGTTGAACAAACTAGCGCTTTGTCGTTTATTTAGGACCGATTGGCAACAAGTGGTACATAACCTGGTCACTTACAACGAGGCAAATGAATTAAATCCGGCAGTTTTAACAGAGGATTTACAGTTGTCTGAATTGTCTGCTTTCAAGGTTTTTTTTTTTTTTTTTTTTTTTTTTTTTTTTTTTTTGGGTATGCATGTATTAGGTCAACAGCTGAAAAAAATGGTAGTCAAGACTCAATCGGTGGTGTTTTAGAAACCATCAAAGCTACTAAAAGAAGTCGTAAAAGGCCTGCCAGCCAACAAGGGGGAAAAAAGGTAAATTTTCATATTCCATGCTTTTTGCTTTCTTGGCCATGAAGATTTCCTCACGTCTTATTGTTGGCAAACGCTTTCACAAAAGGCAAATAAAAGTGTCATCATTTATCGTGATTAATGATATTGAAAAGCTAGCATAATTATAGCCTTCAACTTAATACCAACCCATATATATTTTATTTAGGGCTGATAATATGGATCACAACACGATAACACGATTTGAAAATGACACAAATTTTACGGGTTAGGATTGAGAAAAAAAAATGTTTGAATCAGAATTGGGTCGACCTGATATTAACATGTAAAACACGGGTCATTTTAGGTTGAACCTGCCTCACTCGAACACGACACGAAACTCGTAAAAAACTAAAAAATACATATATTTTTCATTACATATTTTTAATTTTATTATGAACTTATGATATCATGATAGTTATACTCAAAATATTATACTATTGTTTGCTTAATTTCAATGGATATTATTATATTTTAGTGTGTTATGAATTTTAAGTTATTTCTAATATGTAAAAAACTAAATAAAAATATACAATTTTCGTGTCAATTTCAAGTTCACAGGTCAATTTCGTGTCACGGGTCATTTTCGTGCCGTGTCAACTCGTAAAGTGATCTTATCGTGTTCGTGTTGTAATTTTTTAAAAATTTTATATCACGGGTAAGTGTTCGTGTTCATATTAACTATAAATTTAAAAAAAAAACGATATACAAATACAACACGTGAGTCACCTCTAATTTTATGAAACAACTTGCTTTATATCATGTCAATTTCATGTTCACAGGTCAATTTCATGTCACGGGTCATTTTCGTGTCGTGTCGTGTCAATTCATAAAGTGATATTATCGTGTTCGTGTTACAGTTTTTAAAAAATTTTATATCACGGGTAAGTGTTCGTGTTCAGATTAACTATAAATTTAAAAAAAAAAAAAAAACGATATACATATACAACACGTGAGTCACCTCTATTTTTATGAAACAACTTGCTTTATATATATATATATATATAATATTTATGCTTTATGAAATTTCGCCAAGTCAGAACTACAAGTTCGAACTCAGAAAAACGAAACAAAAGAAAAAACAAAAAGAACAATAAGCAAACTGTCTTCTTTTTTTTTTTTTTTTTTTTTCACAAACACCTTCCCAACACTTAAAAAACCATCTAATTGAGATAGTATGATGATATGGGGGGTGCAATTTCTTTAAAGAAACCCAAGGTAGGAAATCTAAGTAAAATACCAACTAGGAGCTTTTTGTGTAGGACGTATCATTTTTAATAAACGATAGTTATTCTTATTTTAACTACTCAATTAAGATTTTAACGATCTACTACATGATGCACTCGATGTATAACCACTTTAATTATATATATCTAACCGTTTAAAATATATTTTTTTTTCTTTTTTTTTTCACAAACACCTTCCCAACACTTAAAAAACCATCTAATTGAGATAGTATGATGAAATGGGGGGTGCAATTTCTTTAAAAAAACCCCAAGGTAGGAAATCTAAGTAAAATACCAACTAGGAGCTTTTTGTGTAGGACGTATCATTTTTAATAAACGATAGTTATTCTTATTTTAACTACTCAATTAAGATTTTAACGATCTACTACATGATGCACTCGATGTATAACCACTTTAATTATATATATCTAACCGTTTAAAATATAATCCAACAATTAAAATAAGAATAACTATTCATAGTAAACAAATCCAACTGAGAAATTTCTCTAAAATAGATATAAATTTACTGCTAAACACTAAACTGTCTACACTAAATTTGTAGACCAATCTTGTACTTCTGTTATTTCAAATTTTCATCGCAAAACTCTTTAAAATAAATACACAAACACAAACATTAACATTCACGTTGTGCCTTATTTACAAATTTGTCGACGAAATCCAAACCTCTCGTTCTTCAAATCATATTCGATGTGAAAATTCTGCTGCTGGTAATTCCCCAGAATAATGGCCGGTCCGCCGACTGACTCCGGTCCGCCGACGTCATCATTCGTCACGACGGTCAAACAAACCGAACCCGGACTCCCCACAATAGAGAAGTAATTAGTCAAAGGCAAATTCATCTTCGCACCTCCTTTGAACTGCAAAACCAGCTCCGGGAAATTAACAGATTTCTCCTTGGAGATATCAAAACAGGGGCCCAAACCGGTCCGGTTCTCTATCCCCTTCGCTCTCGTGTAATTCGCCATCTGCTTCGCGAACTCCGACGATACGGCGTCGAACACCGGCTTCTCCATGTACGTGAAGGTCGTGCCGGAGTCGACAATCGTCCCTCCGTGACCGTCCGATCCGGGGACTAAGTACCTGTACGGAATCTTCACGTGCGTTTTTCCGACGATCACTTTTCGGATAAGTATGTAGTAGTACTCCTTCAACGCCGGAATCGAGGACAGCGAAGGGTTCTTCTGGAACGGAGTGTAGCTGATTGAGCCCTCTGGTTGTTTGTCGTCGGAGGAGGAGGAGTACAGAACGAGGTCGCTGCTAAACGACGTGTCGTCGAAGCGGTGGGAGACGAGGCAGTAGGAGAATTTGGCGAGGCGCAACTGCGACGGCAGCGACTCCTTTCCCCGGCCGAACCCGGCGATGCCGGAGGGTTGGCGGATGGAGAGAACCGAGCAGCCGACGATAAAATCGGGGACCATTTTCCCGGGAAAATTCAGAGTTTCCGAGAGCAATTGGCCTATGGTTGATCCAGAGCCGTACTGGATAATGTAGGCCGGGCAAGCTTTATTCTTCGGGTTTTCTCCGGCGGTGGCGTCGTCGCATTTTGCGGTGGCGCCGAGGACTAATTGGCATTTGGGATTTTGGCAGCCGATGAGCTTGGAGGAGGAGGACTTTTTGGGGATGAATTTTGGGGGGTTTTGTGAGTTGGGGAAGGAGCATTTGGAGCAGAGGTAGCGGGAGGTGCAGGGGAACCAGACGAGGCTGCTGCCGGTGTCCATGACGAACTGAAGAATCTGCGGCGGCGTGCCGAATCGGAGCGAGACGGAGTAGCCGCCGTAGCTGCGGGGGTAGAGAGGGGTTTTGGTCTGATATTTGGAATCAGTAGACGAAGAAGACGAAGATGAATTGACGGATTTGGGGCGTTTGAGAGCATGGGCTCTGGAGAGAGAAGCAGAGGCGAGAGAAGTGATGGTTTGGAGTGGATCTGAAGAATGGTGGGGGAATGGGGAAAGAGAGAGAGTGATTTTGGCGGAGGAAGAAGGTGAAATGAAGAACAGGAAGGAGAGAGAAATTAGAAAGAGAATCGAAGATGAAGATGAAGACGAAGACGCCATTGTTGTGAGCTTGATTTTCTCTGAGAATGAATACCGAGTGACTGAATGCAATGGGAACTAAAAGATGAGCCTTTTAAGGTTTTTTTTGCTTTGCCTTTTGTCTTTCAGTGGAGTCCACACACTCCACAAAGACGAAGAAGGAACAAGACGGAGGAGCCAACGGTAAACAGAAATGCTAGCGTATCATGTTCGATGTGGGAGATGTAATTTGCCATTCTAGTTCTAAATTTTACGAAAGGTACCACTTGGGCTTTTTGTAAATATCAGGAATTTCAGCGTCAAGTTTTGGACAAAGCACGGCAAAGAAAAACCAAAAGTACGCTAAAAGGTGCCAAAGTGCAAAAATCAACTCCGTATGGAGGTTTTACTAAATTTCTAACCGTTGAAAACGTAAACAAGACGGTGCGGTGCCGCAAGTAAGTGTAGCCACGCAATGTTCGGTTGGAGAGAGCAATAATCAGCTGCTTCCGATCTCAAAATCGCCCATGTATATAAGATCTCAGACTTGTCCCCCTAATTATTTACATGCGGAATTCTTCGCTGGGTAATAAAAAATGTGTGTTCTAATTTCTAATGATGTGATCTAGGGCTGGCAATTCGTGTTTACAGGCCGGGTTCGGGCCGACACGATTACGGCACGACACGATTATAGTGAGCACGAACACGACACGATTAATAAACGTGTCAAAAATCTAAACACGAACACGACACGCTAATAACACGGTTAACACGACACGACACGCGAACACGATTATTAAACGTGCCGTGACGGGCCGACACGAAAAAAATACGTTTATGACCCGTTTATGACCCAACTAGCAAAAATAGTGAATTTTATATTGTATTCAAAACTATATTAATTGACTACTTAATATCACTTATAGTTAAATTCATGCATAATAGCCGACACATATTAAAATATCTAAAACATCACTTATGACATATGTTTCAAAACATACCAATTACTAAACATCTAAAGAAGTTTGAAAACATAACCAAGTACATTTAAATAAGTTTAAAAACATAACCAAATATTTGAAAATTTAAGTGCATAAAATATAATCAACCATCTACAAGTCCATTGGCATATTTAAGTGCATAAAACATAAAACATATTTAAAGTTTAGGTTTATCCATTACAAATCATCCATTGGCATTTTGTAATCAACCATCTACAAGTCCATCTACAAATCATCCATCTACAAATCCATTGGCATTTTGTAATTTTATCAACATGCCATAACTTATTTAAAAGTTAGAGTGTTATATTAAGTTAACTCTTTTATCAAACACCCTTCATGCAAACAAGAGAATATAAATAAAACGGGCTGTGAGAGAATGAGAGAATGAGAGACGTGTCGGCCCGATTACGGCCCGTATAACTAAACGGGTTAAGCGTGTTAAACGGGCTGGCACGAATCCAACATGTTTATTTTCGTGTTATTCGTGCCAGCCCGTTAACGACCCAATTAATAATCGTGCGGTCTAAACCCATTTATCTCGTGTCGTTTTCGTGTCGTTTCATCGTGTCGTGTCTGAAATTGCCAGCCCTAATGTGATCTGCTTCTTCAAAAGTCAATCTTTTATTAAAATTGTTGAATTATTATACTTTTAAATTTAGTAGGACTATAACATGTTATTAAGTCCGGTAGTTGTAAGTTACGACATGTGTAACATTTTTTTTATAAGAACTTGTAATATAACAATATTAAAGCAAGTTATATGTAACATGGTGATAAGTTGTATTGAGGGCCCGTTTAGTTCGTTGATTTGAGTTGAGATGTGATTTTATGTAAAAAAATTTTACTGTAATAAAAAAATTAGATGTGACTATTTCTGAGAACTTTTTACTGTAATAAAACTCGAATCGGTGAAATGAACGTGACAGTATTAAATAAATGAACAAATAATGTTACAAAGACAAATAAAGAAATGTTGCATTTACAGGACTGATACGGCTACTGGGCTGAAGTCATAAGATCCTTATCATTATATTATGGGGTGTAATTCTCCAAGTGATTATAAAAAAACGCAGGTCTGCCAAGGTTTTCAATTTTTGGTAGAATTCCATGTTATATTAGATATACATTAAGCCAGGGTATTTGAAGTGCAAATCCTGTGGTTTTTACAAATCCATCAAATGGCGGGACCCAGAAGGGCGAAAGCAACATAAGTGGCTGCGTCACTGTTTGGGTGTTCGAAAAATGGCTGTTTCATGGAATCAAACACGTGAATTATGGATGGGAAGCGCGAGCCTAGCTGGCGTTGGGCAGTGACGTGTCGCTATCTCATGCGTCATCAAACTTTACTTTTTGTTTTTCTTTCTTTTTTTTTCGCTACTCAAAAAGGCATCATACTTAGACGGCTCGCAGCAATACAAAGTGAAAGGAGCGTTTAAAATTCATTTTAAAATAATTTTATTTTTTTATATAAAAATAAAAATAAAAATATTTTTAATTTTAAATAAAAATTATTTTTAAAAATGTGTTTATTAGTTTTATCAAAAAATTATTTTTAGTATAAAAAAAATTATTAATGTCTTTTTTTCTCTCTTTCTGTTCGAGAAAAGAGAAAATAAAAAACGACTTTACACTAAATTAAAAAATCATTTTTATTTCTGGGTTTTGTCTTTATTGCGCCAAACACTGTTTTAGAAACGTTTTTATTTTTTTTTTCGAAAAACGTAAAAAATAAAAATGGGATCAATTTTAAACACGGCTAAAATGTTGTCCAAATTTACATCGGATAATAATATTTGGAGGGTTTTTACGGTGAAATAAGTTATTTATTTTATTGATAGAAACTGTATTTTTATTGTTTGGTTAATTTTTTAACAGTCGGATCTATTGTAAGAGTACTTTTGTGTGACGTGCTATAAATTTTTAATACGATGCTGCACAAATTTAAATGTTAAAAAATTAATCTAACGGTTAAAAATAAATTTCTCCACACGTGGAGCAAGTAAAGATTCCCTTATATTTGACACAAGTCTTGAGAAACTTGAGAAAAGTCCGGGAATATAATGTGATTTTATCTTTCACAGCGTTATATTGCAACAAGCTTAATTATATGATAAAAAAGAAGCCAAGATAGATTTTGTTGCACAAGTTTATTAGGATTGGTAGATGAAGAATTTAATGTATACTTGTGTTGACGCCAGAGTTTCTCACACACCGATGGCCCACCGGCGAAGTATTGTCCCCACTTGGGCCCGCCGTGACGGGTGGGGTTTTGTCTCTTCGTAAAAGGCGCCTCGCTGGTAGGAGGGGTTGGCACTCTAGTACATATACCTCTTCAGACCCCCGTCTCCAACTGATGTGGGACTCTTGGTGTACAACAGTGCCCCCCGAGACGGGGGGACTGGGGAGGCAGGTCGTGGCCAAACGTCCCCAGTGGAGTCGCCAACTGTTGACGTCAGAATTTCTCACACACCGATGACCCACCGGCGAAGTATTGTCCCCACTTGGGCCCGCCGTGACGGGTGGGGTTTTGTCTCTTCGTAAAAGGCGCCTCGCTGGTAGGAGGGGTTGGCACTCTAGTACATATACCTCTTCAGACCCCCGTCTCCAACCGATGTGGGACTCTTGGTGTACAACAACTTGTTTAAGGACGGATAAGGAAAAGTTTGTGGCATAATGTGACGACATATTATTAGTTAGGCTACAACTTATTGAGTTGTATGGACTTACAGCTCGGCGCTTTCTTTTGAGATCTGGTCTGATATTGTACTAGTGATGTCACAATTACAATGACCTCAAATCTTGAACGTCAATTTAAAAACTATTTGTAAAAATTCAGTAGTAAGTGTTGGATCATTAATCTAACGTTGGGCTTATATATAAATAATTATGTGTTGCGAGCTGTCATATAAGGTTAAGCCTAATTAAAAGTGATATACTAAGGTTTAGGTATTTTAGGCTTTAATGTATCTAATAGGGTGTGGGTCTTTAATGTGTAAAGACTTAAGGATAATTTCTATTTTTATGATGGGCTAAAATAGAAATACCAAAAGATAACAGGGAAATTATCAATAAATGACAATTATGGTCCGCAGATCACATGTATCATTTCATTCATTCTGACATCCCATCATCAGAAAGAGTACAAAGAGAAAGTTAAAGGGTTCTTTAGGAAAACGTGTTGATCTGGATATGGATTCAGGTACGTTTCCGCTTACAGATTTATTAATTCTTGATGATCTAACATGAATATTATTGGCTTTTGAGTGGTGATTTTCACCAAATCTTTGATTTCTAACAATAAGATCACATTTAATTATAGGTTTCGGAATTGGAATCTCCCACGCTCAAATTTAAAAAAGTAATAAAAGAATATCATGAACTTCAGTATTGCAAAGCTTGGGATACAAAAAGTGTATAGAAGGTGACTTGGATTAATTTCAAAGGTTGGTACTGGAACTTATGAAGAATTTGGGAAATGCTGTGTATTTTAAAATAATTAAAAAAAAAGATAATATTTTTTTTTTAATTCATTTCTCTCTGGTTGTATAAATGAAAGGCGACATCAAAATTAAATTCTTACAAACCATTCACAAGAAAAAGGTGACAGGTATTCGACCACATAAGTGTTATTGTCATGATCGTGCCTATATTTTATCGTTGTTGTTGTCGTCGGCGTCGCCTTAAGATCATTGACATGAGTCAGCGACGGAGAAACTGAGATCCAGAGAGATAGAGCGATAAAGGGAAAAAGAGAGAAAGAGGAAGAGAGAGAAAGGCAAGGGGACAACAAGTTGATGAAAAGTGAATTATTTATGCACGGATAATATGATCATTTTAAAGGATAGTAAAAACTGAGAAAATTGGTGAAAGAAGCATAACTAACACCCAGTTTTCAAAAAGGTCATATGTATAATAAGGCCATAGCCCAGCAAGTAAATAATTCAAGAATGAAAAGAAAAAAGAAAGCCCAACCCATATAATTGCAGCTAACTGACTCCTTTTTTTATATTTTTATTTGGATGGAACAACAAACTCAAATTGATTAAAGTAAAATATTTCGAGCATGTTTTTTATATCTTTTATGAAGCCCTAGAAAATTCAAATTTATCACACCCACATTAATGCTACATTTAGGATCCATTTATTTCGTTGATTTGAGTTTTTAATTCGAGTTAAGATGTGATTTTATGTGATAATTTTTTACTGTAATAAAAAAGTTAGATGTGATTAGTTTTTAAAACTTTTTACTGTAATAAAATTCAAATTTTAAACTCAAATCGGTGAAATAAATGAGATTTTATGAATGGAAAACAAAAAGGAATTGACAAAATACTAAGGTGTGGAAAATAGAGAAGAAATGTGAACTTTTCTTTCATACAAATAAGAAGACATGAGGTATGATTGGCGTTAAAAAATATCCGGCCCCTTTACTTCTCGCAATTTTTTTTATCTCCTCGAATCTCTCATCCACCAAACGTGGACTAGAGGTTTGTGTTGTAACTGGTCATGTTAACTTTGCGACCAACCAATGCCGGCTCTTCCAGAATGCTACTTTTTTAAAAGGAAAATTGCATTTAATTAAAAATTAATAAACAGTCATTTTAATACAATGTTAATGACTCATTAAAGGGATAGACGCACACTTGAGACCTAAAAATATGAGAACACCTCGGCACACTAACAACAAACATACATAAAGCTCGAAATGAAGAAACCCCTCCCATCGAGATAGGCTTTCGAGTGTAGGAGGGATAGATTGCCAAACTCCACAATGAGGGGATATCTACATGACATAGAAAAAATTCTAGCCGGACCAAGATAATCCTATCAGGAGACATACAAACGGCCTTAAGTAGATCACTAAAATATAACAACAAACAGTAAGACAAACGAGGGTCGGGTGGGGAGACCATCGCCCTTATTACAAACACGAAAATTACATAAGAAAAACAGAAAAACCTTTGACCACTGCTGTTAGAAGCCTCCGATGAAGGGCAACCGGCCAATGGGCCGTCAAGAAAAATAATCGGCTAAGAGATCTCAACCACCAAACGACAAACTCGCCTAGAAACGAAGTCCATCCGTTCGGCTTCCAAGCTCCAAACTGGGTTAGATCCACCTAAACGGAACCACCACACCGTATACCGCAACCACTAATGAGAAGCTCACGACGAGACGAGCTGGAGGATCAAGTTTCATGGCCGGGAGTCCGACGACATGCCAGGAAGCGGCCCCAAAACTCCGGCCGTCGTTCACTCTTTTTTCTCTGGTTCGTGTGGGAGAGAGAGAGAGGAGGAAAGTTGAAAACCCTAAAAATCCTTTTGGTTAAGAAGTTTTGTTCGATATTCTTGAAGGCCATTTAAGCAATTGTTTAAGGCCCCAAATAATTAAAAATCCTAATTAGTTATATTTATTAATTATGATCAGTATTACTATAAAAATAAAAAAAGTAACAAATTAATCTTTTGGTGATAACTTTCCTTTTGTTCTTTAATATGTGATAAGGTCTCTTTTAAAATTTTCACATAATGCCTCAAATTTGCTCATTTTTTGAACCAGTAGGGGTGTCATGCAATCCAATTTTTTAGTCAAATAACATCCAATTCAATTAAAGGTCGATTTTAAAAATTCTATTCGATCCAATCTAATAATTAGTGTATCATTCACTTCAATCAAAGGTTGGTTTTTAGAAATTCTATTCAATACAATCCAATAGTTAGTGTATCATCCAATCTAATCCAATCCAATTAAAGTCGGTTTAGATTGGATTGGACCAATTGATTTTGTACTATGGCCTTTAATTTGTTGGGCTCCAAATTTTTTCACTTTTTTTTTCTTTTCTCTTCAACTGTGATAGAAATAGGTGCGTGAAGTAATTACACAAAATGATCTATATTGAACCTCCAGTTTAAAACGATAAACTTTTTTTTTTAATATTTGCATAATTGAAACTTTTTAAACTAATGAAATGATCATTACGGTAATGACTGTGTCATATGAAGGATAAATATTGCTGACAAATTATAAAATTAGATAGCTTTTAAACTCTTAGTGTTATATTAGACATTCATGAAATTCACTAAAGAAAATAAACATCAAATTTTAGTATTAATAATATGCAAGATAAATACATAAATATTTAAAAAAAATTATATATAGCATAGGTAGAGTTTGGATTGGTTTGAATTGGATATTTTGAAGATAAATTAACATCTGATCCAATTTAGGTCGGTTTTTAAGAAATGAAAGTCAATCCAATCCTATTAGTACCGGTTATTCATAAAAATGAATTAAATTAGATTGAATTGAGTCGGTTGAGCTGATAATTAGATCATTTGAACACCTCTGTGAACAGACCCTGCGACCAACAACCAGTACGTACGTACTTACCCAACCCATACAATTGCGTACTACTACAAATTTATCTACAATAATTACTAAGTCCGTACCACCATATTTATGATTTTATATGCAACTTTTAATTAGTTTAAAAAAGGCAAAAAAAGAAATTTAGGGCCGTTTAGTTTGTTAATTTGAATTTTTAATTTGAGTTGAGATGCAATTTTATATGAAAACTTTTTATTGTAGCAAAAAAATTAGATGTGACTGTTTCTGAGAGCTTTTTACTATAATAAAACTCAAATTCTAAACTCGAATTGGTGAAATGAAGAGAGTGTTAGTATATCTGTACAAATAACTAGGATATATAGAAATAATATGCAATTCGAAATTTCGAACATTGTCAAGGCTTCTTACACATGATTTTCATCATCGGCACAATAACATTATAACAATTAACAAGACGTTAAAAGGTAAGTACATGCACGTCAAATGTCACAATGTTCTTGCTGAAGCCCTAACCTAGAATTCACCAAATCAAACTCCATAAAAGAATCCATCAACAAGTAATTCCCCAACAACACCGCCGGACCACTGCTCAACCCCACATTGGGACCGACACCGCCGACAACATCCGTCGTAAGGGACAAACACACTGCGCCGACCTTGTCATCAATCAAGAAGTATTTCTGCGTAGGGAAATCCATCTTCGCAACGCCGTCAAACACAAAAGACAACACCGGAACCATCGTGATATCCTGACAAGAAGTAGAACTAAAACAAGTCCCTAAAACACCATGATCAGGAGCCCTACTAAAATTACCCATGTGGTTCTCAAACTCATGCCTCACAGCCTCGTATATCGAGCGTTCCAAGAAAGTGAAGGGAATCCCGGTGTCCACTATCGTCCCTCCATTGCCGTCGCGTTTCGGAAGCTGTTTTTCGACCGGTATCGCTATCCGCTTATCTCCGACGACGATTTCTTGGAGCTTAAGGTAGTAGTACCCGCGGAAGTGGGGGCCTAATTCGACGGCGACATCGAACAGCGGTGTGTAAGTAAGGTCGGGGTATGAAACGCCGTCGTCTAAGACCAGGTGGGAGTATATTGAGGAGTCGTTTTGAAGTGAGAGAGTAAACGGAAGGAGAATTTCTTTAGGGCCATTTGGGAAGGAAGTGATTGGTTGGCGTTTCCAAAGGCGGCGTATCCGAGCGGTAGACGGGAAGGGGAGTTTGAGCAGCCGATGAGGAAATCAGGGATGTTGTTTTCCATTGTCTCTGTGATTAAGTGGCCGAATGTTGATCCGAATGTAAAACCTGCATTACTTAGATAATACATAGCAGACTTAGTTAAAATAGAACCTAAATCATTAGCGTACCTATATATAGCAGCTAATTAGGAATAGGAGTGTTATCTTATATAATTTAATGTCCTTTCATACATGGTAACCTTTAGGGGTTGTTTGGTAAATAGGTTGGAACTCTAATCTAATTTTGATTTTGCTGCAATGTTTTTTTTTTTTTCAAAATAATTTGAACTTAAAAAGTTATGCTACAGTATTTTCTTTCAAAAATTCAAATCACCTAATTTAAATCTATAAACCAAACAAGCCCTTAAAAGAAGTTTTCGTAACCCGAGTTAAAATTGATCACACACGTGTCTAACTTTGTAACGACAGGATCAAAGAAATTCTTTTTTGCAAAACAAGCAATTATCAAATTTTTTAAATACAAAATCGATAAATGTAATCCTTTTAATGTTAATGGACGCGATGATTTTTAAGCGTTTATCAATAAAAAGTAATAATTCACATTTTAAGTAAGTGTTTATTAAAAGAAATAAAATTATTTTGTTACCCTTTGATATAGTGAAACACCCCGTTTATAAAACCAAAAAAACATAGAAAAATTAGGAAGATGACCAGTTTTGGTTGCCCTTTAAATTAAGGCTGGATCTTTTTTTTTTTTTTATAATCTTGATAAATACCCATTGAAAATACATGGATCATGATTTTTATCATTTACTCTTGATTCATAACCATTTTAGTCAAATAATTACCCTATCAAAAAGGTATTGTAAGAGACGTAAAGATTCAGACTCATGCACTCTTAAAGATAAATTCTTCATTTTTGTTATTTTTTTTTTAGCTAAATGGTCTTTTTTTTTGTTTTACTATGATCAACTTATATATATACCATGGTTTATCAATGATAAACTGATAAATTATTAATTGATATTGATTAATAACTGACTAATGTTGGTTTATCAGTTATGAAACACCAAGTTAATCAATAATATATTAAATCACAAATCAGTAGTCACTACTTAACCCTTTCTAAAAATTGCCATTTTCCTAATTTAACAAAATCTGGATCATTTACTAAAAGAATACTTAAGAGACGGCCATTTACATTAAAACCCAAAACAAAATTAACACCAGCAGGACAAATTTTTAAACACTATACCATCTGTTGTCCATGAAGCAAACATAAATTCATAACCGGGGCAAAGCGATGCATATCTGCAATTAGAATTCTTGCCATGGATCCAAGCACATTTCCCAGCAGAAGAATAGCAGTGAAGGGGTTTTGAGGAGACTGATTTATCCGGATCAAAAGCCGGGCTTGGTGGGAGTTCCATGTTTGGGAAAGAACATTCCGTGCACATATAGTTTTAGGTACAAGGAAACCACATATAGGAGGAATCAGTGGACATGATTAAGGGTGGCAACTTGTGTTAATGGGTCATATTCATGTCAACCCGTTTATTAATCGTGTCAGAAAACATCAATATAAACACGACTTGTTTATTAATCGTGTCAAAATGTGAACCAAACACGACTCATTTATTAATCGTGTTAATCGTGTCAACCCATTTAAATTAATATATTGAATAAATAACTAATATAATAATGATTTATTTAACACGGTCAAGACAAGTTTAATATGTTTATTGGTCAATTTATCTTTTCTTTTAAGAAAATTAAATGAATTTTACCTACAAATATTAAAATTCACATTATTTGTAGTTAATATGTCATATAAACTTTCATATTATATCACATATCATTAGATTGCAGATGACACATATAGTTATTCGTGTCACTTCGTGTTAGGAGGTCAATCATAACCCAACCCATTTATTAATCGTGGCAACTCGATTATGAACAAAACTCATTTATAGTAAACCAAAACCCGCTAATTTCGTGCAGGTTTCGAGTCTTGTCATCTCAGCCCTAGACATGATAAAGGGTATGCTAGTTTTCTTGAGAATTCCAAACCCTAGAGAGATCGGATAAGCTCCGAAGCTGCGGGGAAAGAGCAGGAATTTCGTCGGAGGGTCTTCTTTCTTGCGTCTGAATTCGTTTTCACCTTTGCCTTTCTTGGCTTTGTACATGCTTCTCGGGGATTTAATTCCTTGGTTTTTTTCTTATGGTGACCACGGGACGCTCAAGTCCTCTGAAGGGGATGCGTAGGAGCTTTTTGAGGAACTCACTTTGTATGGAATCTCATGTAGTTTTACGTTGATCACGATGAAAAGAAGATATAGGGAGGGACGTGGTGATAATATTGTTACTGGGATTGATTGTTGAATATGAGAAGGGTAAGAGGAAGAAAAACAAAAGGCAAATAATTAACGAACTATTCGCCATTGTAATATTTCTCTGTCTTATATATTTATGTGTACGTACTCTAAATGTCTAGAAGGATAGAATCTTATATCTCATAATATATGGTATATTTTACGTTGTACGTATATATGATGAAAATGAGAAAGGCTTAATATAGGTAACTTGTTTTTGTTATAAAAGGCTATTCAATAGTGTTACTCAAATAAATAATCTAACGGGTTCTTTCTCTTTTCAGCATATTTCTTCGTTGTTTGCAAGTTGAACCATAAACTTCAAAACTTGTAGTCCAACTGATAACAAAAATTAATTGATAGAGGGCAATTAGGATCTCAATGCAAATTATATTAAAAAGTTTAGGGGTCCAACTAATTATCATTTAATTATAAAAAGTTCGAAACGGTGCAATGTTTGTGCAGACATCATGGGGGTATTCCATCCATTAACTGATGGACCTTATCATCAAATATTAAATAAAATATAATTGTTAAAGGTAATTATCAAATTTACGTTGTCCCACCAAAAAAAAAAAGATTATCAATGTTAGGTCCAAAATAAAAGTTAAAATTTATATAATGTGACTCCATGGCTGATAGAAAAACAGATAATTATTTATTTTTATTTTTAAATAAAGATAGAAACCTTTTTAGCTTTCTCGAATGGGGGTTTGAATATCATGAGTAAAAGACCTTCAGTATTACCGAAAAGGCAAAGATTTCTAATCAATTAAAGAAATTGCTTATCCATATAGCATATAATACATACATAATATATATGTACACCTAATATGTATTCTAAGAACAAACGTCAAAAAGTTGGTTATTATACTTCACGCCCTTAATCCTAATACAGGTATCGTATTCCAGAAGAGGTATTATTTCTATCTTCTACGTACTTTGATCACATGTGTTGATCCTTCTATTTTTTTTTTATTATTATGATTAATTTTTTTTTTTTTGTGTAAAATGTGTTGATCTTTTGAGTTGCACATTTTTTTCTTTACTGAAATTTGCCTCTGTATTATTTGAGTTACAGGTTATAGAAATACGTAAAAGGATACATTAAAGCTTAAATATCTCATGACACCCTAAGTTAAACGCAAAAGGCAACAGCTAATAAGGCTAGTAGTCTAGGAAGTGGCAAGCCTCTTTTATAGTTTTACTAGTTTTGGCATGTGGGATGTACTTAGTTATAATTGATGTTTTTATAACATAAATTACAAACAACAATAAGCAAGAAATAAAAAATAGATGAAGATTTTTATTTAGAGATTAAAAAAGAGTATATATTAAGTAGTAGTATTCCTGTTCTAAAGAAAATTTCTCACCTAACTCCACCATAAAATGTAGAGTTTGAATCTCCACACATCATCTTTTTCTTTTTTTTTTAAAGAAGTATATGTTAATAATAGTTTAAGAGAAAATGTTATGTTTAATTATAAAAATACGTGAAACATTATAAATTATAAGACAATAAAGTAAAAAATAAATAAATAAAGGAGTTGAAACTTAAAAATAAAAGGAAAAAAAAGTAAAACACTTAAAAATTTACCGTCTTGAAAACCACCATGAACATAAATTATGAAATAACAAAAGAAAAATATAAAGGAGTTAAAACTTAAAAATGAAAGAAAAAATAAAGTAGCTGTTTAGAACTACTATATAATGTACAACAACTAAATATCTACTTTTTATATACTTAGGATTAGGATTAGGATTTAACACGTATGCAAGACAAAAGAAAGAAATAAAAAGTTGAAAAAAAATAAATAACTAAAAAGGTTATGGAAAACAAAAGGAAAAATAGAAGAGTTAAATAAAAGATAAAACAAGCAAAGAAAAGAGAGAGAGGGAAAAAAAAGATCAAACTAGTGTGTAAATGACTATAAAAAATGAACATTAAAACCACTCTTTTATATTTAGCATTTACTATATAGATAAGGTAGGATTTAACATTTAGATTTCCATAAAAAGTGAAAAAAGATAAATATGATGGTCCATATTCTAGGTTGTTTACTAACACATCATTTTTTTTAATTTCAAGTGTTTGAAAAGAGAAAAAAAATGAAACAAAAAGAGAAACAAAAAAAATGTTGAAAGAAGCAAAGAACCCTATTTTTTTTAAAAAAAGAAAAGAGCTAAAAGGACTCGTTTAAAATTTTTGTGACTAAAAAACGAATAGCAGAGCTATGATAGCTCTTTATATGTGAACAATAGTATTAGTCGAGAAGGCCGTGAAAAATTTTTGAGTAGAGGCTTATTTTTAGAATTTTTGTTTTAATACGGGACAATTAGAAAGAAATTTATGAAAAAAACTTTTAACATAACAATATATTAAATCATTATCGGAAGGAAATATTTAAGTAGGATAATGTTTGGGAAAAAAAAAATTAATTGAAGTAAATGAAAGATAAAAAGTTTTTAAAAAAAAGATAAGTACAAGAATATAAAATTTTTGGAAGAAAAGAGAGAGAAAAAAGCGATCATAAAAAGCCCAAACAAAAACCACCGAAAAAAAAAAAAAAAAAAAAAAAAAAAAAAAAAAAAAAAACAAAGCACCAAAACGGTGCGAAACGACGACGAAAGAAGGAACAGTGAGGCCCCATTTCTAAGATATAGTGGTATAAAACATACGCGTACACAAATAATTCATCTGTTTTTACTTACTAATTTCTTACATTATTATTCCTGAACGAAAGTAAAAGGTTACTACATATTATATGGTCGTATTGGCCAGAAGAGAATACTTTGTCGTGTTGAAGGGAAAAAGGATATTTGAGCTCCTAAATCTTAGATATGTGAACATGGCTTTAAATTACACTATTTTTTCCTCTTTTCTTGATAGGTACGTGCCCAAACTGGTCCCAGAAAGCAAGAAGAAGAAGTTTAACCTAATTATGATCTGGTTCTAATTGCATTATTATAATACAATTAATTAAGCCAATTCGAACCATATCAATCGGGGACTGAATTAGTTACAAAGAAAAACACATGAATTAGAAAAGCAGCAGTTGATTAGCATGCAACTACTTATGGCTTCTCTCTTGCAAATACATCTCTGGACCTTGTTTCTCTTGTGTTTCTTCATCATCATCTCACCCATTCTCAGCGCGATCACCAAGAATAACCATCTCCAAGCCCTCAACAAATTTGTACCAACTTCAAACGACGAATATTATCCCCGTAATCTAGTTTGTTCATCAATATATATATATATATATATATATATATATATCCTCTAAAGAGGCGACTTTATTGGTGTAACGAGAAGATCAAACATTACTATCAACACTTTAGTAAGGAAATCTTTATAAAAATTATTTTTATTTATCTATTTGATTATTTTTGGATATTTGAGGGGAGGAGGATAATTTATATGTAATTCCAAGCAACTTACAGATTAAATAACCGCATTACATTTCTGTATCTTTGAACCTTGGATATGCTAAATTATAGGATTAAATAACGACAACTCAGGTCCCAGCTCCCAGGTTTATATTATCATTTGTAATATACGTATAAAACTATATAATTTGGATCAGTATCTAAGACTGAGATCTGGCCGTGGCCGTCCATATCTTTTTGCTTCCATTAGAGATTACTTCAATCTTTGTTTGACACCGAATTAACTAAGTACATATCCATGTTTGTTTCTTTATGGTAGGTTTATCTAGTTTGATATATTCAAATAGAATTAAGCTAAGAATTTTCAACTACCACAGGCAGAAATTTTTAGTTTGTTTTATCGCTTGCTTGGAAAAATTGCTTTTGTGAGAACAATTTGGGACCATTATAATTGGATATATCAGTTTGACCCATTTTACAATTAACATGAACATATTTATCCATGTAAATCTCGAAAACCACTTCTGAAACCACTTTTACAGAAAATAGAAATGAAGAAAAACCACTTTTGAAACTCGTTGGATAGCCCGATTTTTGAAGGGCATGTTCTTTTAATTAACTTAAATCACAGCTCATTTTTTATTATAGTATTTTCTCTTATAAAAATT